TATATGTAGGGTCTGTGTGAAGCGAGTTCACTCCGGACCTGCTACGGGCTAGGAGGTGTCTACAAATCTTCGGACTCTAAACACGAAGTCCTAAACCCTGAACCCCCCCCAAAACCCTAAATTCAATCCTAAACCCTGTACCCCCAAACCCCTAGACACCCTACTCCCGAAGCCCTCAACCCTAAACCCCATAATGTAGGGGCCTGATAATTCCCTATAGTATTTTGCGAGCTCCTTGTTGAGAAATAAAGTATCATGGGCACCAAAACCCTATTCGAACTAGTGAGGCTCCTAATATAGAGCTCTATCATAGATCCCTTATAGAACCCTCTAAGGATGCCTTTAAAGGAAACCAATTCTAATCATTAATGCCCAATATTACACCCTAAACCCTAAACCCTAAAACCTAAACCTACACCCTCCCAGCTTTCCAGGAGCCTCTCGCTCGCTGCTTCCGGGCTGTGGCCGCTAGTCAAAAGGCCGCAGGGGTTTAGGGTTTTAGGGTTTAGGGGTTTAGGCTCACAGCTTTAGGGATGAGGCTGTAGGGTCAAGGGTTTGATTTAGGGAGACAAGTCTCTTGGGCTTTCGGGTTTAGAAGTAGGCCTTTGGGTTTTGCAGTTTAGGGTTCAGGGTATAGGCCTTTGACTTTGATGAACCCTAAACCCTAAACCCCAAAACAGTCCCTAAAGCCCTAAACCCTAAACCCTAAACCCTAAACCCCATTTAATGAGGGTTCAGGCTTTCGGCCTCAAACGTAGAGGTCTGAAACCGCCCCACAGCATTCAACCTTTGAGCCGCAAACCCAATCGGGCAAAAAAGGAGTCGGATAGTTGGGAATAGGCTTCCCTTATAGGGTTTAGGGTTTAGGGTTTAGGGTTTAGGGTTTAGGGTTTAGGGTTTCGGGTTTAGGTTTAGGGGTTTAGGGTTTAGGGTTCAGGGCTCAACATAGGGGTCGAATAGTTGGGAATTGTCTTCCCTTATAGTCCTGGTATGTTTGTCTCATGGACCCCCTAAAACCTATTCCGACTGTTCATGCCTCTAGGACTGGCCAGTTGCAACGGAGAGGAAAGCAACCAGCCACGAAAAGTGGATGCCGCAAGTCCCTGTCTGTTGCGCGACTAGGGAACTTGTTGTAAATACCTAAACCCTAACCCCCAAACCCTAATACCTTAACCCCAATCCCGAATTTGGTTTGCTCGTAAAGCTTTCATAGCTTAAAGCATTATCGGGCTTAGGAGTGCAGAGGGCTCAGGCTCTATAGAGCCTCGTCGGGCTGTGGGTAGTGTTTGATAGGATAGGGTTTAGGGTGGGGTTGTGATTGGCCATTGAACGGTGCTCCCTGTGTTGAGCTTCGTTCTCTTTCCTCCAAACCCTCACCGTCAAGGTCTCAAGCGGGGCAAGCGACCCAAACCAGCTTCCGTTTAGGATCTTCCTAAATGTACTGGACGCTAAACCCTACACCCTCCTAGAGCTGAAAATTCTCAGCCGGCGGCGCCTGTCAGGCGACGTTGTTTCCGCGAATTTCTTTGAACATCGGAGATGTTGCGTGAAGGACAAACGAATGCAGGAGTTTCGGAGAGCTTGGCAGTACAGGGGCTAAGGTTTAAATTGCTTGGGGTTGGGGGTTTCGATTCGGCGTGGCATGGAAAACCCAGGGACCCAAAGTTCACGGTTTGGTCTTAATAAACCACTAAATCCTGAATTCAGTAAATCATAAATTCAAATCCCCAGACCCTACAATTATGTCCGTTTGTCCCCGAACAACTCTCAATGAGCAGGCTCGGGGGCTCTAGGTACTTCAGATGTTGAGGTGGTACATGTTAAAACAGTTGTTTCGGGTAGTTGTAGAGAGCCAAGGAGCAGTGAAGTTGATGCACTTCAAGTCTACTTTCGGAGGTGTGGGTGCTTGGACATATTGTTCCGAATTAACGAGCAGTTGCCTTTACCACAGGTTTTCTGATATGTATGAACCCTTTTAAAGCTGACAGTGCGTTCGTGTCGTTTGACCCATGAACTGGGCAAACAAGTTACGACTGGGGCAATACAGACCGAAAATGCGGCTAGTTAGGGTTTCGCCGGTAGGTTACGGTTTAGTTCAATCGGGACTGCAAGGGGATCTTGTTGATTATTTCACGCCTGTAGCGTAAAGAAAAGCTTTGCAACAAGTGCTTTCTGGGGGATTCGACTCAGAGGCTTCGTCATCGGCATTGAAACTCTGCCAACCAGGACCCTCCCCGTACCCTTAAATCGTGGTATATGGTCCCAAATAATGGGTACTCTGGGGCTAATACATTAGCTAGATGGGAACAGATGACCTCAAAACAGCAGGTTAGTCATGATAGTCCGAGTATTAATTGGACCGCATGTGCCGGTTCTTGCCACTATCAACCAAGAGTGTTCTAGCTGTAGTCATAAAAGTAACACGCCACAAACACATAACGATAAGGTGCAGACCAACAGCAGCAACAACCACAAACCGCAAGAGTTGTTAGAGTCACGCTCATCCCCACTGTGCTGTTTTGAAAGGTCATGGTAGCAGTAGCAGTAGCAGTAGCAGCAAGAGTAACAATGGCTCGTCGCTCATGACACGGCCAATGGCACGGACAGTATCTGCGTGTATCTACCCTGTTCTCGCAGACTTTCTCACAGACTTAGCTGCAGAGTGCAGGAATGTAGATTCGTGCATCAGCGCTGTGCATCGTGGATCCTGGTTCTAGAGTTCCCAGAGTGGCAATATAGGCTGTAGGTGCCGCAATAATTACCTGGTACTATAGTATAATGGGCCCAAAACCCTATTCTAAGTACTAAGGCCCCTACATTATTCCTCATGCCTCCGTCTGTGGGTCCAGCAATACCCTGCCAGCCTTGGGTTGAGGTATGAAGCCCCTTCTGCAACACAAAGATGCGACCCCGGCACCCTGCGTAAACCCTAAACGCGAAGGCCCTAAACCCTATACCCTAAACCCTGAACCCGAAACCCTAAGCCCTAAACCCGAAACCCTAAACCCGAAACCTCTCCGATGCCCGCACTGAGTGATAGAAGCGGAATGGACCGACCGGGTCTTCCTGCTCTTCGGCTGCTTTTGGCTTAGGAGTCTAGGGTTCAGTGGTTTAGGGTTTAGGGTTTGGGTTTAGGGTTTGGGGTTGAGGGATTGAATATAGGGGCCTAAGTAATTAGCTCTATTATTTTTTTGCGGCGGTTCCTTATTATACTTATACTATAAAGGACCCCTAAACCTAAATATTAAGGCCTCTACATTAGGAGTCGGCGTCTTGTAAAGGTTGAGGGTGTGTGTATGCGCATGGGGCGGTTAATGGAAATCGGTGCTCGCCTTGTGGTTTTTGTGCACGCAGAACGGCACACACGCAGTTTTTTGTGCTGGGTGACTTCAATTAAATGGAAACCTAGTGCCAGGCGGTGTATGAGAGCATTCTAGCGGGAGGTCTGCTGCGCAAGGTCACACACCATGCAATGATTTACCGTTCAGGAAAAATCTCCTCCGAACTCGACTTAGTCAGGCATGACGTAGACGTTTAACCAGAATATGCTTCTGGCCCAGGGCTTGCCCTAATGGACATGGGGTGCAGACTTTGACAGCCGGTAAAGCAAAATTGCTCATCAACGATGTGCAGGCCGCCCCTGCGTGGGCAATTCCTTTGTGTGCCTTTCAGGCAGGCCTTCAGCAGCCGTCTATACGAATTGCACATAGCCACTCTTGTGAGGCCAATCTGCGATTAGTGCGACTTGCTCAACACCTGCCAGAGCCGCCGCTTCTGTGGCATCTTCCTAAAACCCTAAGCCCTAAACGGCTCTTCAATCTGTGGTGGACTGCTGAACAGAGGCTTACACGGCGGGCTGTCCAACCCTAAACGCTAAACCAAAGGCAAATATGGGGTATTGCCTTACCTGCTCCGCCGTCAACGACGTAAGCCCACGGCCACTACTGTCCCGGTCTTACTCGCCATCTACAAGGCATTTCGGCATTGCGCTGCGTGAGAAGAAGGTACTGGCCTCGCAGCCGTTTAGGGTTATAGGGCGTTTAGCAATGATGGGCTCAGGTCTGAGGATTTTTTTTATGAGACTTGGGCTATTAAGGATTGAGGGTTTTCCACGGGTTTGGGGAGTGCCAGAAGCTTCCACAAATAGGGGTATATGGCTCCAAATAATGCGTACTTGGGGTCCAATAGAGTGTTCCTCATTATAACTTTGACTACGTTTACCCAAACAGGGACCCCGGTTTAGAGAACTACCCACATAGAACCTTTAATAAAGAACCCCAAAAGGGACCCTCATTTAGAGAACTACCCATAGAACTCAATCTTCCAAGCTGTCCGGGACAAGCCGCCCCTCAACCTCACGGCCCTCAGCCCTATAACCTTAAACCCTATACCCTAAACCCAAAGCCCTAAGCCCTAAACCCTAAGCCCTAAGCCCTAAACCCTAAACCCTAACCCAAGCAGCCCTCTAACCCCAAACCCTAAACGCTAAACCCTAACCCAAGCCTAAGGCCCGACAGCCCGAAAGCCTAGCCCCTAAAACCGAATGCCTGAAAAGGTAGAAGTACGTATTCAACACTGGATTTAGGGTTTAGGATTGGTTCGAAAAGTAGAAGTACGTATTGATTATGGATTTATAGGGTTTAGGATTGGTTCGTTTTGCCGGGAGTTTGCCGCCTTGCTGCTTTGGTTTTTGCCCTTTGCACTTGGGCTCCAGATGTTCAGGGTGTGGGGACCTAGAGGTAAGGGCGCCACGGGTTTTGGAGTTCGGGGTACACTGCTGAAATCATCCATTAAGTCTAAGTCAAAGGACCCTTCATTACTTAATGAGCCTCCTAAGCCCCCAAACCCTAGACCTTAGACCCTATAAAGCCCTAAATCCTAAGCCCCCAGACCGTCAACCCTAAACCCTAAGCCCCCCAAACCCCAAACCCTAAACCCTTAAACCTTATAAACCCTAAACCCTATAAACCCTTCAGCCACGAAGCTGCGGAAAGAGTGAGGTGTCCATTCTCACCGGTTTCCTCGGCGCGGGCAAAACCACCCTCCTGAACCACATCCTCCAGAATCAAGAAGGTGCCCTGGGGTTTAGGGTTTAGGGCTTAGGGTTTAGGGTTTAGGGTTGAAGGTGATACTGGGGCCTGAGCAGGTCCCTACACTATTCTGGGGGGCTCCTTAATTTATTTTCATTATATTTTAGTGTAATTGGAATATACCCCCAAAGCCTATTCTGATAATTAAGGCCCCTACATTACTTGGGCTTTGGGTTTAGAGCTTTATCGTGTTTTGGTGCGAGGGCCACTAGAGGCCTCTACAAGGGCACTTAGGGTTTAGGGTCTCCCTACAACCCCAAAAAGTCGGTCACATTGATGGCCCGACCCGTATCAACGGCCATTATTCTGCATACTTTCGGGGTCCCTAAACCCAGCACCCTAAACCCAGAACCCTAAACCCAGAACCGAAAACCCAGAAACCTGAACCCTAAAGTTTAAATGCCAAAACCCAGAAACCTGAACCCTAAGCTTTAATCCCTAAACCCGGAACCCTAAACCCTAAACCCCAGGGCTTCGGGCTCTGTTCTGTGCCCGGAACCTCCTGAAAACCTCGAGCTCCACGCACTCAGCCCTAAACTCCTAAGCCCAAGCTCAGAGCTAGAGGGTTTCGGGTTTAGGGCTCATAGGGTTTAGGGTTTAGGGTGTATAGGGTTTACGGTGAGTGAAGGGGGGTTGGGGGAATAATTAAGCAACAAGAAATACATTCTGAGGAAGATTATGATTATTGGCAATTATTCCAGGATCCTGGGTTACACGCCCAGAGCATCTCAACTCTGAGCCCCGACACCCATAGTTTGTCGTAGGTCAGCGAAGTGCTGCGGAATTGAGAGCGACATCGTACCCTAAACCCTAACCCCTAAACCCTAAACCCTAACCCCTAAACCCTACCTATGACCCTGGACTTGG